TATACTATAAAAAAAAAGTGGATACTTAACTTTCAAACACCAGAACTTAAAAAGAAACTATCTATTAGACAAGCAGTTATTGTATATATAAATGACACAACCTGAATAGCTAGATATAAGCAAGATATGGAGAATATTTTGGAAGAGGGCAGAAAGTTCTATATAGCAAATAATTCATAGATTAATAACAAGAAGTTAATTTTGTTTATAATAAATTAAAATAAGCTAAAAACTGGAATAGTTTATGCTGGTATTGATAAAACAGAAGTCAAAGAAATAAGCAAATATGATTCGGCACAATTCCTAGGAGTTTGATTTGGAAGAAGACACAATAGCAAGAATACAATTAACTTGTTAAAAGCTAATATTAGATCTATAAATCTAGCGATCATAAAAAAACTATAACTGAGAAACATATCAAATATATTATCAATAGAGTTCTGATTTCCCAGACAGAATACCATATATAGCATACATATATTGGGGAAAAGATATGTAATAAGCTTATAACAATATATAGAAAAATTTTCAAGAACAAAGCTCTTATCTGTAACTATGGATCGCAATGGATCGAATCAAATTAGATTTTAGATAAATCTGATTCAAATCTGATCAGATTAGTTTTTATTTGATCCGATCCATATTTGAACAGATTTATTTTCATTTAAATAAAGATATCATTCTGATTTAATCCATTCTTTGGGCTGATATTCTGCTTTCTAATTGAGATCTAGGTCTTTGAAGTGGGATTTTCTTTTCTTGAAGGCTTTTTGATAATAGGTCTTAACTTGCTAATTAATGGTTTGTGGATTTGTAGCTATATATGTTGAATTCTTGCAGTCTTGTACTAAAAGTTTGTCAATTACTATTTTAAATCATTTTCTATTGAGAATATAGTTTAGAATTCATTTTTAATTGCTTTTGAGGTTTTCACATTTGATTTCAAAGACATGTTTAATTTGATTTTTAATATAAAAACTTTTTTTTTTACAAATTGTTCATAAGGTTAATTCTATTTTAACAATTTGTTTCAATTGTATTTCAACATCAGCAGCATTTTAAGAAGGTGACAAGTCTTGGATAAATACATTATTACTTAGAGTATAAAGCCTATTGATTGTTATTTAAATCTTTTTTTTAATAGAAGATTCCCATATTGCTTAAACTTTTTTGAGTAAATAGTAAATTCTATTGCTTTTCTATATACTGTATATTAAAGTCATGTTTAGGGATAGTACTCTCAATTTTGGATTTTTTTTTGAAGTTGAAATATACTCTTTTCATTTTTAGAGTCTTAAAGACTCCTCTAATAATAGTAAATTTTAACAGGTGCCAGGTCTTATCCAGTATTTGTAATATATTAAAGCCACTTGAGAACTCTATATATACTTGATCTTTAAGATTAGAAAAAGCAGTATCTATTCAGATTTTAAACTTTTTTACTAGATATTTATAGAGTTAACAGTATCTGAAATTTTAATACCTTTAGTTCTTTATAATTCCTGCTCTTTTTTCTTTAGCAAATTGTTAGTTGTTAAACAAATCATTAGAAGTATATGGTCACTACTGATTAAAGTTTCCATTAATATATTATAGAAATCTTATAAGTTTTCAAGGCTCAGTTTAGCTATGGCTAAAGATAGGTCCTTAAAGGTGGAGATAGGAACAAAAGTCAAATGTTCCTCACTAGGAAACATTAAAATTTTTAAATTAATAACTATAAAAAAACTATCCACAATTGTTTTCCATTATCCAAATCATTATTTTATAGTATTTCCTGATTTTTGTTCCTATTGAAGTGAAGAGTTATGAATTTTGTTCCTTAAAAAAGAACATAAGTAATCTGCGAAATTTTATATGCTAAATACTTTAGGAACCCATCATAGTTATGGTATTGTTTTTTTATTTCTTTATATTATAACTGAAGTTTGCCTTTGATTAGTTTTGTCTATGTGAATGTGTGAAAGAAGGCCCTGTCCCTAAGTTCTATTTTGGTAAATATTGCCTTTAGGTTTTCAGGGGCTTTTATAGGAGCTTCTTGTTTGATAGTTAGGAAAAAATTAACTATTGTTTCTGGTTCACATGTAAAGGTGTCAAGTCCTTGGCAAATTTACAGAAGTGCTTTTTGGTTTTTCAAGAGGTTAGCAAATCTAATATCTGATTCGTTGCTAGTCTAATAAGTCCACGAAGTTGTGGAATTCTTTGAGAGCCTTTCTGATTAGTTTGTTGTAGCATCACTTGTCACTGCTTATGGTTGGTTCATATAATATTGATCAATGTCTTTATCTTTACTTCTTTTGGACAAATTGAGCTGGTTGGTATATATGTGCTGCATATAGGCTGATAAGGTGGTAGTTTGATTTGTATCTATTTGCATGACATTGTCACAAATTATTTCCTCAGTTGGGACAGGTGTATTTGGAGGGAATATGAGGTTTTGGGTTTTTTGTTTTAAGAAAAAAGTATTGGAATTTTCATCCATTATTATATCAAGTTTGCTCCAGGAGATGTGAAGACTGTAGCTCAGTTTTCTGATCATGACTTCTTTTATAACTAGTTTACAATCCTCATCTATGAGTTTGAAGGTTTATTGAAAGTCCAGAAATATATTAAGAGTAGTTATGGTCATAGGTTCGAGAATGAAGATGTTGATATTTGTGCAGAGGCTTGAGAGTCTATTTCTTTGAACTGTTTCAAATATGGCTGCTATCACTTTGAACCCAGCTTGTTCATTCTCTGAACTTCTAATAGGTGTAAGCCAGATAGGTGGGCAGTTACCAAGATTCAGAAGAAGATTAGATGTGGAGGGGTCAGTGATGAAGAGTTTGTTTGTTTTTGTATTTTTATAATAGATTATTGCTAGTTTTTTTTTAATATTCATGATGAGAATATCAAGAAGGATGTATTTATGCTGGTGGTTTGGTTCCTTGGAAGAAGAACTCCCAGGTTCCTTTGGTTTTTTCTTCGAGGCTGAAATTTTTAGAATTTCCTAAATGATAATTTTGGGATTTTTCAGTTTATACGAGAAAGAATTTGTTTTATTTTATTATTTTAGTTAAATAAATATATAAAATAATAATATTCTATTACATTTTTATAGTTAAAAATATAATTTAATTGAATTTGTAATATTTTTATATAACTAATCTAATATAATTAAATTTTTAATAATTTAAACTAATTAATTTAAAAAAAAATTTTAAATTTAAATTTAAATCATTTAATATTAATTAATTATTAAATTTAAAAATTATTAAAACTTAATAAAATAAATATATTACTGTATATTATAAAATATTTAAAAATATTTAAATTGACTAATAAAAATCCATAAAAAATCTTAACAAAAAATATACTTATAAATTATATAAAAATATTTAAAATTACTTATATTAATTAAAATTTATAAAACAACCCAATTTTTTTTTTAACCAATCCAACCTTGTTTTCAAGACAATGTAGCTAGTGCTAAGGTGCAAGGATGTAGTTTCAGTAATAACAAAACTTGATAAGCTATGAACTACCTCAGGAATTGTTGCTCTTTCCTTGAGAAAAAGAAAACTAACATGCCAAGGCCATGCTAGTTGTTGGATAAAATAATAATAGTATAAAAATATTAGTATTGTACTTTATGTATTCATTTGTGTAGCTATTAACTATTATAATCAAATTTGCATTCTGGTTCTTTGCTACTTAATCAAGTGGATTCTCTTGAATCTGTTGCAGCCTGTCTTGGGTTTATCTGATTTGTTTTGTTGTCTTGTTTGTTGATGGGCTTGGGACTTGTGTATGGGATTCACAATGTACCTTCCAGATGTCATATAAGAGTTCTTTCCCTTCTCTTATTGTGTTGATAATTTATATTGTAATTGTCTTGCTACTTCTATTAACCTGTTAAGTGTTCCTGGGATTTCTTTTATAACTGCTCCCTAATAAGTAGCTTGAAGATCCTAGGTACGTTCAAGTAGATACATTGTTGTATGATACTCTTGAAATTTTGCTTGTGTTTTTTGTGAATATGTGAAGATATGTGTTTTATTAGAATTCTGTGAAAGTTTTTTTTCAGGTTGTCCTTCTAGTTGTTGCATAGAAAAGAATGAGTGGTGTTTTCTATTTCTTTGCAATTGTGATATTTGTTGTCTCTGTAGGTTGAGAGATATCTGCTATACAGTTTGCTCCTAATTGATAGTTCTTCATATCAAAGGTTGAAGCTGAACTTTCTTAGGTAATGGTTCTTATTTAAGGTGGTCTATTCTTCTATGTTGGAAGGATGTAGGCTGTCAAAGGTATGTTGTCAGTGTATATTCCTGAAGTTCTTTTCTATGAAACTTTTCTGGGTTCTATTGAGAAATCACCATCTGATGAGTCTTATGGCTCTATTAATTTATTTTACCATGTCCTTCCCTAATGTATCTATTAGTGTTTGGTTTCATTGGATATTAACCAGTGATAACCCCTGGTAATACTCCCTGATGTTGATAATCCTCTTGTTGGATTTCATGTTTTGTAATATGGGGTCTAGTTTATTTGCTTTTTCATTGAGAGGAATGCCTTGACCTTGTGAAAAATTATAGTTAGGTCCTGATACTTCTTTATGTAACTGTATATGTCTAGAATTGTTTGATTTTGATATTGTTTCTTTCTTGGTTTATAGTTATTTGATGTCTTTGCCCAGTTGATTATTGCATTGAGGCAGTCTGTATATAGCTGGACTATAGTATTCCTGTCCAAAGTACTAATTGCTATTACTATGGCCATGAGCTCTGCCCTTGTGAATGATGTGTGTAGTTATGTCTACTCCTGAAAGGTGTATTCTCTTTCTTTTTTGCTTTTTATGACCCAACTAAAGCCCATATATAGTCTGCTGCCATGGTCATATACTGATCCATCATTGTTGCCTATTGGTATCCTTTGAGCTAATGCTGTATAACTCTTAATTTTTCTAGCACTAAGTCTCTCGAGCTAAAAGTTTCATTGATGTTCATTAGGTCTGATTTCCATTATTTATCTGTAGCTTGGAGTATAAATTGTCTTCCTGTGGGATTTCCATTAGATATTTTAATTCCTTTATTATGGATCTTAAGGATATTCTGCATCTTAGTTTGATTGCAAAACCCTTTGTATTTCCCTTGAATAATATGTTTGATCTTTCTATTGGAATCTGAATTGTATGTTGCTTTCTTATTGAGTATATGCAAGATTCTAGTGATACATCTCTTTCTCTTATTGTGCAACTCTTGCGTTTCTCTAGTGGAATGCCTCTGCAACTCTCATGTAGTATATATAAATGATTGAGTTGGAACTGGCATTTCTTTTTTTCTTACCTATAATTTCTGCCTAGTGTTTAAGTGTAGTGCTCCAGTATGGTTTGTGTGTATTTGCTTGGATCAGAGGTTTGCCTTGATTGAAGGTTCTGTAGTTACTGATAACTTTTGTTACCCTGTCTTGTATGTATACTATGACTGTGAGGTTTTCTATGAGGCTGGTGTATCATTTTGGAGTTCCTCTTTTCCTTGTTTGATTAATGGCACCTACTTCTTACCAGTTAGGAATTGCAATTTTTATTTGAATCTGAATGATCCACAGATTTGATCTGAATGAATTAGATCAGATTTTAAATTTTTTGATCCATTTGTATATGAATCGGATATGGATTTCAAATTTTGAAATCAATCTGATCGAATTCGTAATTTTGTATCCAATTAGATTTCAAGATTTAAAACATAGCCAAGTTCAAATAAAAATTGACAGATTAACTATATTTAAATGTAACTATTTAAGGTAATTAAAAAAACCTCCTAGGATTTTTTTTTTATATTCCTTTAACACCTTTACATGTTTCTTTAAAAGTTTGTGATATTTTTTATGATATTTTTCTCCTTGCAACATTACTGGTATTATTTATATCAAAATAAAATGAAATATGATAGTTCTTTCAATTATTCCAATGAAATAAACAATGAAAGTTTCAGTTTAGATAACTAGGAATTGAGCAATACTAGTAATATTACTACAAATAGTTTTTTGGAGGTATTATCGAGTAATAAAATAAATTATAGAAGTAAAGTGTGGAACCATTTTACAAAAGATTCTGATTTCAATAAAAGTAAAAAAGTTTCCTGCAATTATTGCAGCATCAAATATATCTGTAGTGGAGGCAGCACCTCTAATCTTTTCAAACACTTAGAAAAAAACCACCCGATAAAAATAAATCCAACTTCTGATA